TATGTGCACGGGATTCGGGGTAGATTCGACCATGCCGCATTTTTTTCTTTTAAGAAAAAAAAGGAAAAAGAAGAGAAAAAGATGACAGGACCACATGGCACGCAGTCACACACCCCATTATCATCCCCGTTCCTCTGTCTCTCTGTCTCTCTCTCTCTCTCTCTCTCTCTCTCTCTCGCTGATCTCCATACAGTTTCTTTTCTCCCTATCTTTGCGCAGGGTCCATGCTAAGAGTAGGAGGAGGAGGAATAGGAGGAGGGAGGAGGAGGAACAGGAGGATAAGGGATGGCAAGGAGGAGTCTCGGTGAGAAGAAGAGGAGGATGGAGGAGGCAGGAGGAGCAGGAGGAGGGGGAGGAGAAGGGGGAGGAGAAGGCGGGAGAAGCAGTATGGAGGAGGAGAAGGAAAAACACGAGGGAGGAGCAGGAACAGGAAGGACAACGAGGAGGGAGGAGAATGAGGAGGCATACTAGAAGGAAGAAGAGGAAGACTAGGAGGATGGGGAGGGGGAGGAGGAGGAGGAGGAGGAGGAGGAGGAGGAGGGAAGAGGAGGAGAAAGAGGAGCAGGAGGAGGTAGGGTGGAAGAGCCACGGAGGAGGAGGAGGATGCAGCTCTCCACCTGCTCCTATCAATCAATCAATCAATCAATCAATCAATCAATCAATCAATCAATCAATTGATACCTCACTCCCTCCCTCCTTCCCTTCCCCGCTCCCTTTAACCAGTAATGAGGGCATCACTGTCTGGACCTCTGTCCTCCGTTTCTATCTGTGCACTTGGGGTCATTTCCCCCGTTGAATCCCGTGTTTTTTCTGCCTTCAAGTTTGCTTGTTGGTCCTCACTGGGAATACTATCCTGCCTTGGGTCGTTGATCCTCACTGGGAATACTACCGACGCATTTCCGCCATTTCAGTTTTCACCCTCACATCTCTGCTGGAGGCAATTTTTTGGGGGTTGCACTGGACGTGAAAGGGCACTTTTCTCCGATTTATCCCTCTTTTCTTGTCCTTTTTTTTGGAAACTAAGCTAAATTCTTATCTCACATTCACCTTTCACTACCTACCTACCTCTACTCCAAAGGCTATACAGGCGACCCTAAGTCTCGAAGTGAAGGGGACATTGCATGTTGCGCCTTGCCCTGCTGGTTTAGGGTGCACGGTTGGGGGCGCGAGTGGGGGCCCCGCTAACACAAAGACAGAGCATTTTGCCAATTATAGCGGTATCTCCCTTTTCTTCTCTCCCCACCCCCATCGAGTAACAGCAGTCTCTAAGGCCAACACTCTCACAACGCCACACACAACCCACTTACCCACACACTCACAAGACAACTGTGTTGGCTAAAGACTGTGCTAATACAGGCCAGAGGAAGCAGCCCACTATCTCAGCTGGTTCGCCCAAGCATGCCCCAGGCAGTGGGGATTGAACCCACATCCTCCTGAATGCCACTTGTGTGCCTAACCAACTAAGGCAGGCTTCCTGCTTCCCCTCTTTTCATATTGTTGACCCTTTCATTTTCTTTCTTACATTTTGAATAAGTTGCTCCCGTCACACTGTACTGGGATTCTAAAATAAACCCCACTAGTGGGATATAGTCCCAGGATCCCTCAACCCAACTAGGACAAAAAAAAAGGAAAAAACACAGTAACGGGCCCCCATGTCCTACTCCTGTAAGGATAGATTAGCTTGGGCGTATATTTTCAAGTGTGGCCAAAGTATGCTCATGAGATTTTCAGATCGGATGGCAGGAACTCTCACGTACTAGGACACTGGAATATTCTCCTGCTTTTGGGACATGCCGATGTGGCGCAGGGAAGGCCGGCGATTGTGCGCAACATGGCCAGAGGAAATGCAAGCAACCGTGTACCGAATTGCACACCTCCACTCTTGATGATGAGATCCAATCCATCAGAGTTCAATGGTATGGTCGGGACATCAACGAAAAGGGAAAGGACATCAACCTTCCCCAAGTGTACAAGCAGAAGAAATGATGACCTCCTGGCAGAGCTTCTTAATTCAATTAAATTTTAAAAGCTGCACAGAAGAGCAAATTCATTGGAAGTAAATTCAATATCATCCGACAGAAAGAAAGAAAGTCAAACCAAAATTTATCGTTGGAATGACTATCAGTCCATCACCAGACAGAGAGAAACGAATTCAAACTGTGGTGCCGCACTGGTGCGTCCTTGGTGGACAGAAATGAAATTGTAAGGAATTTGACCGAATTGATTCGAATTGATAGCAAACTGGGAACTTCAAAGACGTAAAGACAATACGGAACTAATAACACGCAACAGAAACAAAAGCAAAGTTGTAAACAAAAGCATCGGTGTGTCTGCTGCAGATAGTTACCTATAGGCTTGGACACACCGTCTGACACAAGAACAAACGAAGTTGTAAGCGGCGGTGGGTCGTCTGTCCATAAACGTTTTGCAAGAAATGAGGAAACTCAGGCCAGCATGCCTAAAGAAACTAGGAAACCAACTCAGAGCGTAGCATGTGTCTGCTCTGGATATTCAGTTTTTTGCACGCGTTCTTCAAATTCCTGGCCATAGAAGAGAAACTAGTAAGAATATGTTAATTAAACTTTGGCCCTTTTAGAGCAAATTCCTGACATCTTAACCCTCCTCCCATTTCCCCCTGAGTTTCTCACAGAGAAGCTATCAGCAAGAATTTCAACATTGAGATGAACAAGTGCAATCAGATTGGTGACAGAGGTAGGAATCGAGGAGGGTGGCAGTTTGCGGCGATGACATGGCAGTGACATGAGCCGATTTCGAAGTGAGAAGGGAAAAATGAATTGCCAACTTACCATAGCCATAGCGGTCGCCTTCTTCATAACCCCGTCCCAGAGGTGACACACTTTCAATAGCCCCTGCATCACGCTCTCTCTGTCTCCTTTCTTTTTCTTTGCGCTCTCTCTGTGTCCTTTCTTCTTCTTCGCGCTCTCTTGGTCTCCTTTCTTCTTCTTCTTCGCGCTCTCTCTGTCTCCTTTCTTTTTCTACGTGCTCTCTCTCCAAAAAAGCTTTTATGACAGTACGAAGTTCAAAGTGAACAAGAGAAGCGAATCAGATTGGTAACATCAGTAGCAATGAAGGAGAGTGGAAGTGACGTGGCATTGACATAGTCCATTCAGAAGTGAAAAAGGAAAAGCGAATTGGCAGCTTATCTCCTCATCGCCCACCCATGAGCCGTTCTTCCTCCGGGCTACCCTACCTTGGGGGCCATGAGGAATGAAAATAGAACTCCCACATTCCAGTGCATTCTGGCCCACCCAACATACGTTCTTCTTCTCGGTTATGCTTCTCGCATCAAGAAGCGTTGTGGTATGATGAGCCACTCAGCGGAGTGCAGACGCAGGCATGTGAGCGATGGTGCAGCGTGACAGAGGGGTCAATATTGGCAATTACTGTCGCTTGCATGCCTGCCTCCCCACACCACCGAGTGATTCGTCGTACCCCAACGCTCGCGTTCACGCTGTTTTCTCCTGTTTCTTTCTTAAAACCAACAACACAATTTTCCTGTTCAAGACGGCAGACAGGGGAATCGACGGTCGTCTGGTGATGGGTAATGCTGTATTCTGAGATCTTGCCTACAAGCGCAAGACTTAGTACTGAAGTCACGAACGTATTCTTCTTGTTTTTTCTTTTTAATTTCCTGATGGAGGACTCATCAGATATTGAACTGACCGGAACAGATAACACACTTCTTGCTTTCTTTTTTTTCTATCTTACCCAACATGCTGAGAAATGTATGTTACGGAGGGCACTGTACGTTGAGCTTCCCTTTTGGCCGGATTGACAATTGCGATACGATATTCAAGTTTAGCTGCGGCTAAGCTGCCAAGAATATTGCCATGATGTCTTTCGGAATTTTTTTTTATTTTATTTTTTTAACTACACTATGTTCTTCTCTCAAATTCTTTTTGCCTTTCACTATCTTCCTACCACTACTCCTAAGACTATATAGAGGGAACCTGTAACGAGCGCAGAGGCAGAGGACGAGGAGGGAGCAGAGGGAGAGAGAGAGTGAGAGCACACACACACACTCACTCACTCACGCGACTGAACTCGACCGGACGCAAACCAGGGGCTGAGGCACAGAGTCGAAGTCTTGGTTTCGAAGGCCCAAACAGCAAGTCACACTGAGTACGAGTACAGCAGCAGAAAACTGGTACGAGACTGGTCCCCGTACCGTACGGGGAGCCGGTATAAGTACCGGTGACACGTACGGTACCAGGGGCATTTCTGCAAAGGCCCTCAGGGCAGAACTGAAAAATGCGGTATTTGAAAGTGGCGCCCGAATTGCAGCGTGGCGCCAGTTGTCCAAAATCCTACGGTACCAAAGGATGGGTTTGGAAAAACGGTGCCAGGCCAAAAACGGGATGCAGCCGAAACAGCAAAAAGATAGACCAGGGATCGAGCCCTGGCGGAGTCCGTAACACTATCCCCTCCCTCTAGAAGGCAACGTCCCGGCTGCCAAATCCATGAAGCAATGCTGAAATCTGTGAAGGACGGGACGGGGCCCATCACTGGTTAACAAGTCGAAAGGGAAGAGGGTTATAATGTGGGTGGCATGAGCTGCGTGAGTAAGAGGGAACAGGGTTTGGCACCGGTGAACAGAGTTGTCCTACTGATGAACTAGGGGGGTTGCAGGGAACAGGGTAGTCCTACAAATGAACTAAGGGGACTGCATTGTTTGCTATAGGTTAAGGGGGAACAGAGTTCAGGGAACAGGGGACTTCTTTTGAAGTTCTACTGGGTAAGGGAAACAATGGTCAGGGGAACAGGGGATGTCTATCAATGTTCTAGTGGGTACGGGAAACAATGGTTAGGGAAACAGGGATCTGCTAATGATGAACTAGGGGTGCTGCAGGGGGAACGGGGTAGTCCTATAGATGGTTGACAAGGGTGGAGAGGTAACAGGGTTTCCTATTGATGATCTACAAGGGAGAGCAGGTAACAGGGTTTCCTATGGGTGTTCTACAAGGGTGAATGGGTATTTCAGTGGAAATTCTACAGGGTTATAGGTTGTCAGGGGATGAAATAAAAATAATAATAAGAAAAAATAAAAATTGTTTGTTGCAAGGTTCAAGGGCACAGATTGCATGTACAAGGGCTGGGATGTTTGATGGGATGTGGGTACAGAGTCGGAGGTCTGCAATGGATCACGGGGTCTGGGGGAGGTCGTCAAGTGTCTTGATCGGCAGCAAGAAGGGGTCTTCGGAAGTCTTGAGTGGTCCCAGGTCAGCGACAACAATAGGGGTCTTGAAGGAGGTCTTGGTCAGGTCGATGATGGAAGCAAGGCAAACTGCAAAGGTCTTGGTCAGGTCGATGATGGAAGCAAGGCGAACTACAAAGGTCTTGGTCAGCGGCAAAGGGGGTCTTCAATGATCTTCGTCAAGGAGAAACAAGATGCTGAGTGTTGATGCGTGGAAAGTCAAGAGGTCCATGTTCAATGGCTGTGGGCACGTCCGGTACATGATCTGCAGTGAAGTCTGATCCGGTAGCAAGGAAGTCGCAGACTGGTACATGGTTCATGTCACAAGTAGCTGTTCCAGGGAGTCTGCGAGGCAGGGTGCCGGCCAGGTGTAGCAGCATGGTGGCCAATCCAGCTGCATAATCTCCATGAACAGTGGTGCAACAAGCCATCGTCCTCGTGCGCATGCCATTAGATCCTTTATCGCCGGCGTCACGCAGGTCCACAAGCATTGGACAAGATGGACAAGGAAGTGGGGAGGGCGAATGGGGCAGGGCTAGGCAAGGGACAAGGGCAAACAGACATCAGGAATCGGGGTCAAGGGCAAGGGTGGCTGTGGCAGGGGTGTGTGTAGAACAAGGTGGCGAGGTTGTAGCAGGGTTAAGCAAGGGTTCAGGGTTTTAGCCAGGTATAGGCAGGGGGATAGCTAGGATGCAGGGTGGGAACGATCATAGGCACGGACAAGTCTCATGGCATTCTTGAGATTTTCAAGGCATTCCCATGTTGATTCTTCATCCGGGTAGCCTGTCCACTTGACTTTGTATTCTTTGATTGGTTCCAGGTTGTTGTTCTACGACCAATGATGGATTCCACGGAGAATTCAGGTCCAGTGGGGAGCATGATAGGAGGGGGACGAGGGTGAGGGCGATCAGAGAACTGTGGCGGGGACTCATAGTATTCTTTTTAGAGGTATTCGACATGGAAGACAGGGTGGACACGGCTCATGTCAGGGGGAGGCTGGAGTTTGTAATTAACGGGGGAGGTTTGTTCAATGATAGGGAAAGGACCGAGCCACTTGTTTGAGATTTTCTTGGACAAGCCCTGCTCGGGTTCAAAGCGTTTGGCGGAGAGCCAGACCTTGTTCCCTACTTGGAAGGTGATATCACGGCGATGCTTGTTGGCGTGTTTAGCTTGTTGTTCCTGGGTGTGTTGGATTGACTCGGTTGCTTCTCTTAGAAGACGGTTCATTGTTGCAACCTATTCATTGAGAGAGGGGCAGGGGGAGGATGGGTTGAGTTGAGAGGGGAGCAAGAAATCAGAGGGCAAGTGGGGGTAATAGCGAAGGTCAAGGTAAAAGGGGGACATGCCGGAGGAAGGGCAAACGACATTGTTGTGGGCAATCTCGGCGGCGGTGAGCAACTGATCTCAATCATGCTGGTGGGGATGACAACTTCCACAGGATTCTTTGGAGAGTATCGTTCATCTTCTCGGTTTGTCCATCGGTCTCTGGGTGGAATGCAGTGCTGTACCTTAGCGAGGTTCCGTAGGCATGGAAGAGTTGTTTCCAGAATTGGGAGAGGAAGCGGGGGTCGCGATCACTGATGATATTCTCGGGGAGGCCGTGGTGTCGGGCGACATGGTCGAAGAAGAGAATGGCAATGTCTTTGGCATTGTGCGAGGTGGTACAAGGAATGAAATGAGCACGTTTGGTCAGGTGGCAAACAATGACGTAGATGTAATCATGCCCGCGGTAGGTCTTGGGAAGACCGCACACGAAGTCCATGGAAACGGACTGCCATCGGTGCGTGGGGATGGGCAATGATTGGAGCTTACCGGGTTTGGCCCGGTTCGAGGGGTTGACAGTTTAACATGTGGGGCACGAGCGGATGTAGGCTTTGACGTCGGCAAGGATAGAAGGCCAATGGAAATATCGGGAGATGGTGTCAAAGGTTTTCTGGAAACCAAGGTGGCGGTCTTGGCGTCGTGGTGCTCGGCCAAGAGTTGGGTGCGGAGGCCACGGGCGTCAGGGATGCAGAGTCGGCGAGTTCCTTTGGTCTCGATGTAAAGGAGGTTGTCATGTAAGGATTAGTCGGGGACGGGGTCAAGGTCGCGGAGTTTGTTGTAGATGGTGGAGAAGTCGGGGCAAGAGAGGTATCCTTGGGTGTAGCGATGGCGGAACGATGGCAGGAGCTGGATGTGGGTCATGGCAGCATAGACTTTCTCGGGGGGGTTGTGATCGGGGCGGCGGGAGAGGGCATCGGCAACGCGGTTACTCTTGCCAAGGGTGTGACAAATGGTAAAGGTAAATTGGGCAAGGAAGTCTAGCCAGCGGGCTTGGCGCGGGGTGATGTCTTTCTTGGTCAAGATGGAGGAGACGACGGTGTTATCGGTACGAATGGTGAAGTATTGCCTGTCGAGGTACGGGCACCAGACTTTGAGGACGTAGTCCACGGCGAGGAGCTCCTTCTCGTTGGATGGGTAGTTCATTTCTGTGGGAAGGAGTTTCTTGTTGGCGAATGCGATGGGGTGCTCGCCGGGTGGGCATTGGGAGTGAGTAGGGGAGTCCTTGATGGAGGGGGTTTCTGCGGGGTCAGGGGGAAAGTGTTGGGATAAAACGGCCCCGATGGCAAAGTCAGAGGCATCCGTGGTGACGAAGAAGTGGCGAGTGGGGTCGGC